CACACGTTTCACTAGGTTTTGTCACTCTGTCAGTATCGCACTCCTATCAATAGAGGGCTAAAGAGCATTTCTTTCGGGGATGGTCTTTGTAAAACTGGATCTCGGGTGCGGTTGCTAGATGGTATAAACCTGTCCCTGTCCCCCCGCTGCTGATGAGAAGCGTGCCCCGTCCTGCCAGCCTCGCCCCACCCACGGGTGAGCCCATGTGTTCCTGGTTAGGTCAAGGTCTATTACTAGACCAGCATCCTGGCCTCAAATGAGCCAGATTTGCATTAATACCGTGCCTGTGAACCACTTAGGGGCATACACACACATATGCGATGATTGTCTCCTGGACTGAAGATCTTCTGTTCTCCCATGCAATAGGAAGTGAAAACTTTGCCTGATCTATCACGTTTTCCCCAGAGAAAAAAAGGAAGGAAAGGTCGTCCTCCTAATCTAGGTGTTAAAATCACTGGTGGTAGAGAGTGAAATGGAGATTTTTCTCCTCAAAATTTGACCAAGATGATTAAAACTGCTTCACATTTTAACCTGGTCACTGATCACTCTCCATACTGCAAAGTCTTTGGGATATGGCTAGCCTGTCTGCATTCGAGATGATGACTGGGCCCATCTCTTGAGTATGCCATGCATTTTTAACTTGGGTTTCTTCTTAAAATCAGTGGGAACCCTAAGAATAACTGTTTGTATGGCTGTAACATCTCGTGACGGTGGCACCGCTGTGCCCAGCTCCATGCGGGGACCTCTCCTGGGGGTAGAGTCCCTAAGGCTTGCAAATAGGTGCTCTTACTGAGAAGGCAGGTGGGAGCAGCAGCAGAGGAGGATATGCAGGAGGGGGAGTTTGTATGTGGAAGTGCAGGGATAAACACAGGGCAAGGATAACATGGTTTTTAATAAAGGTCTATATCAAGTATTAGGTGGAGGTGACTGATTCTTAGCCTTGGTGGCATATAACAGTGTAAATCAAGTCTTATCTCGTGGATACAATGGCCCAATCGCATGAAATTTGCACTGGCGCAGAAACGAAGCTGGTATCTAGCTATGCTTTTCAGTAGAACCATGCTAATATTACATAATTACTGCGATTTTTAAAATTACTAGTCATATGCTTTTAGTTAGCAGATTAAGCTGTCATTTTCCTTAAATTAAAATTTTAATGTGATGGGCTTACAGTATCGCTGGAATAACAAATTAAATATCGCCAGTGAGGGAAAAGTAATAGCGGGGTGGAAACCCCCCCCTCGTTATGATGTCTAACAAATGAGTGAAAAATACCAGCACATCATTTATGAACACCACAGGTCCAGTAACTGTGGGAAAGGGAAAGAAAGAAGGGCTATTGAACAGGGGAGGTCTTGAATCTCCAATTCCTCTAGACAATAAAAAAATAGAAAACCCTTCAACATGCGAGCAGTGATGAAGCGCTGTTCGCTTTAGCATTCCTTTATTGTTCAGGCCAGGGGCTAGCTTTTCAAGCTCTTGATCTAAATATAAACCATTTGTTTGTTAGAGATAAAAATTCTAACAACTGGCCATCGTGCTGTCTTAAGGTTACTAATCTCTCTGCATTAACTTTAATCATCAGATGTTTTTGAAGAGAGGTGAGACCAATTCCCCAAGGGTTTTCTGAATCCAAATCTCATTTTTCAAATTTTGTAAATGATATGCAGAGCTGAAATAAAAAAGCCTTTGAAATGAAATATTGATATATAAGAAGACAGTCCCTGAGCTAAAGAACCGTACTGATGCATAACACAACTCTTTAATAGCTGTATAGTTAAGTAAAGCAAATTGTTTTGTATGAAGAAATGCTTTTCTTTGTACAGTCCCAATTTATTACGGAAAAAGTGAGCTGAAGGGACACTTCTGCTTTACCAAGCGAATCCTAATACCCTTTAAAGTATCTATGTGAAAGGTGATTGATCTCAAGCATGTCCCTGAAATATCCAATATATTATAAACATTTTTTTTTGCTGAAAATTAACCTTTTCAGAAAAGGAGGAAAATAAGTCCTTTCTGTTCACATAATCTGAAGATTAGTCTACGGTGTTTGGTGAGAAGTAAAGAACAGTAAAAGTGCCTTGGAGAAGGCAGAGGAGCTGTGCTAATGGCCAAGTCAGGCTAACAAAGACCTGCTGCTGCTGCCCTGTGGGTTCCTGCATCTCTCGTTCCACAGCTTTATGCCAGGGTAAAACCCTTCAGAGCTCAGCACCTTGGGAATCTGACCTGGTTTAAGATTTTATTCAGCACAGTGCGCTCAGACAGAGAATTTCAGATGTAAGCCGCGGTTCATAAGATCAATTACTGAGTTTCATTCTGCTATTATTCCTGAGGGTGCATTTGCAATGTAATTAATTTTTATGTAGGGTTCTTCCATCTCTCCATTGACACTTTCCTAGTAAAAGTATCTGCTCCGCTAGATTCATGTCTTCGCTTAACTTTAATCTTATGGGCTGAGATCCATCTCCATTCGTAGCGAAGCTGTCTAAGAGCACTCTGTTTAAATCTCGGGCAGAGATTTTTAATCACCAAGATTAAAAGCCTCCATGGAAAACGGGGTAGGGGGGAGTGGAGAAATAGGGCTTGACCTCCAGCGGACAAGCTATACTCAGACATGATCCCAAAGGATTTGCATGGGACCCTCTTTTGTAGCTTTACTCGTAGCAGTGTCATCTTTCTCACTGAACATCTCGTTCTTTGGTAGCACAGCTACAGAGGCTTCTTGCAGTTGGATCCTGGTAAAATAAACGTGCCCCTGAGATGCGATAATTCACACAAATGGTATTGACGTGGGCTGAGAAGTGGTGCTGCACATCCTGCTTGCTGGTGTTGTCCTTGGCTGGTCTGGGAGGGTATACCAAATCTTTGTAGTGGGAAGTTTGGGATCTGCAAGTCATGGGGGAACAGCAGAGGGCAGGACGCTTTATTTATTCATTAAATCATTGCCATCAGTTGGCCCTCAGCTTTACCGGTCTGAAATGTCATAGGCTAGACAACACAGCTAAGGTCTCCTGCATATGTGTGCTCTTACCCTTCTGTCGGGAAGCACCCTGGGAAAACAGGGCTACTTAGCAGAGGAGCAAATTCAGTGCTGAGCATCCGTTTTGAAACTTTCATTTTTATTTCAGGCAAACTTGTGCTTTGTAGACATTGATAACCATTTCATCGAACTGCCAGAGGAATTCCCCCAGTTCCCCAACAAGCTGGAGTTTATCCAGGAAATCTCTGAGGTTCTCCTGCAGTTTGGGATCCCGCCGGAGGGTAACCTGCACTGCAGCGACAGCGCCACCAAACTCAAGAACCTGGTTCTTAGCGACTTGGTGAACGACAAGAACGGGAACATCCCCGGCAACGCCCTCAACATGTACGAGCTGCTGAAAGGCAATGAGACGATCGCCCGCCTGCAAGCCCTCGCCAAGAGAACGGGTGTGACGATGGAAAAAATGACCATCACGGCTCCCCTCGCGGAGAAGGAGAAGGATGGGAAATTGCCATGTGAGGAGGTGGAGCTGAGGGACTACAAACTGAACGTGCAGCTTCGCGAGGTTTTCGCCAACCGCTTCACGCAGATGTTCTCAGACTATGAGGCTTTCGTCATTCAGGCTGCCCCTGATATGGAGTCGTGGCTGACAAACAGGGAACAAATGCAAAACTTTGACAAAGTAAAGATAGCCATGTATTAATTTTTCCATCTGAAAGTGCTTTTGGGAGGGAGGGAGAATAGCTATATTGCGTATATATAGCCTAGGTACTCTTTAATCCGCCGTTCTTCATCTGCCTCACTGAGAGATTTGTCCGTTTTGATTACACAAGGCCGGATCGCCTGCCAAAGTAAATCGGTGCAGATCCACTGAGCTGGTCAGAACCGTCCTGGCTTGTACGAACCAAGCTGGCAGGCTTCTGCCCAGCCGATGGGGCTTCTCCTGTGGGTTTGGTGGAAGGGTAGCAATGGAAAGTGACTTATTTTTCTTTCTTCTTTTTTGTTTGCTGGAGAAGTGCACACAGGAGACAAAAAACAAACCCAGTCTTTCTTGTTTCCTAATCTCACAGTAGAGCTTTTTGTTAATGGGTAGTGTTGTTCTGTAGAAGGTTATCACATTGTTATGGCCGAAGAGTAGTGTTATGGCAGAAGAGTACTGTTATGACTCCATTGTGGTGTGTACACAAGACTGAAAAGGAAGCCGAGATTAGAAATGGGGAAATAAAGAGTCTGTAGGCTAGCAAAAGGAATGAGAAATGTTGGGAAGCTTGCACAGTTATTTCTGAGTGACTCTGCAAAGTAGATAGCACTCTTGGCCATCAGCTTTTTCAGATACAAGTCCTTCTCTAAGCAGAAGGATAGAAGGGTAAACAGTCATGAACAGACTAAATACTGGTCTGAGTCAGTTTTTGATAAAAAAAATGCTGCCACGCCTTTTATTGGTCTTGTTTGTATTCAGGCATTGAACAGTGCAGCATTCAAAAGGAGGGGGTTGTTTAGGCAATCTCTGCTAGTACTTCTACAATAAAATGGGCTGAGAAGGTTAGGGTTTTCAAAGCTCAGTTAGAGACTTAGGCACACACTCAGTTTTAATTGGAAATTCACGATTAATTGCCCTGCATAACTTCACAAAAGAGCATTAGCTGAAGAGCACTGTACACCCCTTGATAGGTGTAACATCTTAAGTGATCTGGTCCCAAGCAGGGATGTGCAGACCAGAGGTCCCAAGTGGGCACATGTGGTGGTGGTCTGCCGTGGGTTGTACAGGGCTCGTTCCTGCAGGTGGTAGCTGCTAGGCTGCTTTGAAAAAGCTGGCAGCATGGGCGCTACTTCAGTAACTCCATATTCCCTTTACTCTAGCTGTCACGAATCCTCTTTGACTGCTTATTTCTCACAGTTGTGACCGAAGAGGTGACCTGTGAACCAAACCCCTTTGTAGATGGATTCACACCTCTCCGAGAGGTGTTTTTGTGGTGGGGAAGCCTGGTCCAAGCCTTCCGGTTGGCTGCTGGATTGGTTCTCTGCTACAGGACGGCTTGTCATGTCAACGCCGGACGGGAACGTGGCACTAACAAGCTGTTCTGTATTTCAGGCTTCCTTCCTTTCGGACCAACCCGAGCCTTACCTCCCATTCCTTTCACACTTCATCGAAACACAGATGTTTGCAACCTTCATAGACAATAAGATAATCTCCCAGTGGGAAGAGAAGGACCCTTTTCTGCGAGTTTTTGACTCCCGAATTGAGAAAATAAGGCTATATAATGTAAGGGCCCCTGCACTGCGGACATCCAACTATCAGAAATGCAGCACTTTGAAAGAAGCAGGTATGTTCAGACGGGCTAGTAAAATATTCAAAAGTACAATGTCAGCCACAAAGAAATATAGGTCCTCAGTCATATGAGCATTGCAGCCGATGAGGAAGCCCTAGAGCTACCTGAGGAGGACTCAGTGGTGTCCTTATTTTCCCTAGGCAAAAACTTCAGCATGCTTTTAAACACCAAAAACAGCAGGAGCCTTTACCTTCCCTTCGAGCTCTCCTAGGCTGGTGCCTTTAGTAAACACAAACCAAACTACGGAGCTGGGCTCACCGTTTCTCATTTCAGGCAGCTCCTGTTCCATTGCCAGGAGAGCTTTCCTTCACCGTGGTGGTGGGACCAGTGCCAGCCACACCAAGGAGCCGAACCCCGGTGTCTGCACCACTGTTTTCGTCTCCCCCTTCCCATAAAGAGACCTTTTTTTGCCTTATGCCATTTGGTTAGAGCAGCGGGGGATACCGGGGACGTGTGGCAATCCTGCTCCAGCAATAGATGCTCAGTGTTAATGAACAGTACGCTGTGTACTGAAGACTTGGATTTTTTTCCATTACAGTCACAGGGTGCATTTTCAAATTATACTTGAGTTTCTTACTGTGCAAGTATTTATTTCATTTCCAAGTAATACAGGGAAATTATACTCTTATTAAATTTGTTGGGACACATATTAATGAGCACATTTCTCATGGGGTTTTTTTGTTTGTTTGTTTAATTCCTTCAGAGTGTTTTACTTGTTACAAATGTGGCAGAAATAGAAATCCTGTGTCTGCTTAACTTTCTTCTGTCTAAAAGCAGTTCTAATTTGCAGGTCGACTGTCTATTCAGCGTCTAGTTTTGGTAGATATTGTGGCACCGGAACCGCATTTTCTGTCTTGTGAAAAGCAGCAAACTGATAGTAATACCGACTTTCCTTCATATTTACCATTCACAATATATGTGACCCTCGCACCGATCCAGCACCTGTTTGTTTAACCTACTGTTTTCGGAACCCTTCAAACCCTCTGACCGCACACTACCCAGTCCTTTTCTCCAAAATAAAACCATATGAAGCGAATTTTTTTTTTTTTAAGAGGGAAAAAAAAAGCTGCTGAGTTTCTAATGATAATGTATGTAAATCTTATGACAGTTTCTTTCCCATCACAGTTGTATAAAATAGGAAACGAGTTCTGTGTTGTTCTTGACAAATGAAAATGGATTTAGCTTCCACATTTTGCATATTTATTCACTAGTCATGATATGCTGAAAAGAACAGGCCTGCCCGTTAATGGATGGGCTACAAAGAGTTGAATATTCAAGTTGCTAATTAAATGCTGATTTCCCCCATACACCTCCTTTCCCCTCTCCTTCACAGTGCATCTGACTCAATGTTGAGAGGGTGACAGATTTTATTTTCATCCTGCTCGAGGTTCAAGATGAAATCCTCACATCCTTGAAGCAAACGACTGAACCGCATTAGTCTCAGCAGAGCCGAGATTCCCAGGGAGCCCTCTCTGGTCTTGCTGTAGCCTCCCCTGTTTCCAAGCATCTGTTCCTCTTCTTGATGCTGCTCAGGCCTTGCTACAGTTAGCTATGCTTTTTGAAGGCCTGTCATCCAGTACTGGCGTATCTAACTTCAGGAGGAGGATCTTTATAGGTGCCAGATGTTTGCAAAACTCGGGTATCGCCCCCCCCGTGCATCTGCCCAAGGAGATGTGTCTGGGGCAAAGCGAGGTGCCCGACCCCACGGAGAGTTGCAGCCGGCCTCAGAGGTCTCCATTCTACCAAAGGAGCGTTAAAGCCAAACACCGAATTACAGGGAAAGATTGCACTGCTCTTTCTGATTCGTAACCCATCTCGTAGGCTCCCATAAAGACCTGCTTGCTTAACGGCTAACTTGCTTGTGCCGATGCTAGTTGTGTTGGGTGAAGAAACTAAAAGCAAAATAACAAAATAACAGCGCAGATGTTTCATGACTTGTGTAAGCGACAGATTTCTGGGTCTAAAGTCACTATTTAACTTCCTAGAGCATTTTCAGGGATCGGAGCATGACCGCTTCTGTTGTTGTAGCACCTGTCTTCAGGCGGTTTGCTAACACGGTTGTTCACCTGTGACTGTAACTTGCAGCCCAGTCCATCGAGCAGCGGCTGATGAAGATCGATCACACAGCCATCCACCCACACTTACTTGATATGAAGATCGGCCAAGGGAAGTACGAACAAGGATTTTTCCCAAAGTTGCAGTCGGACGTCTTGGCAACGGGACCTACCAATAACAAGTAAGGACAGGTTTTATTTTCTGGATTTGAAAGCAGGTTTCTCATATAAAAGATTCACATCATTGGACAGTAGTCCTAATTTTGGATGGCTTCCGGCCAGTTTCATGAACCCTAGCAACTCTTTCCATTTCTGGTTTGTTCAGGCTGTGATTTTGAAGTTACAGCCATAGTTTGGGTTATGTTAAAAAGTGTTAGCTCTGATTTTGGGAAGATTCGTCAGTACTGTTTTCTGTTGAGTGGTAAGTTCTGTGTCTTCTCATACATATTTTTAGTTTTATCGTTGCCGTAATAAATTTAAAATTCATTTCCTCACTGTTTTGCACTGAATAGGATAATCTGGAAGCCCAAGCCAAAATTCAGGTTCTGAAGGAAATGTTGGTATTGATCCACATCATCATGCAGAATGAAATTAATGCCCACTCTGTTCCTGTCTTTTCTTTAATTGTTATTACATGCTCCAAAGATTTTCATAGCTCTTTTAGTTTCCACGTTGGAATAACCTGGAAGAATAACTTGGTGAGGGTAGAAAGTATGTGGTTCTGTACCTGGATTACTCTGCTCAGTCTGATAGGGTTCTGTAGTGTCATATGAAGGTAGGGGCGCCTATAGCTGTGGAATCAGGTATGTCATTGTATAGTTACTTTGCCTAGTATAAAATGAGAACCTGGAGCAACGAATACACTTTACATTTATAAAGTTATAATGTAAAGTAAGTGTTGTAAGTTACCTTTTTTTTGTTCTTCCCTCAAAACCCAGGAAAGAGGGGTTTTTCTCCCCCTTCAAAAATGGAAGATTTGTACATCAATGATTACTGCTTCATGAAATTATTAGCTCAGGCCCTTGCTTCCAGTTTCTGTGGTAGGTCAAAATGAGAGCAGAGATAAATCTGAGAGCTCCAAAACCTACAATTGTCCAAATGTTAAAGCCAGCTCTTGTTTTAGACAAGTGCATGCACACACACTGCTCTGAGCTGCTGTATGAGGTGCCCGCTCAATTCTATTTATACACCTCTTGTGCACCCTAGTGCTAGCTAATCCCTTTTTAATAACCTACTAGGCATAAGACTTGCAAATGATAAAGTAAGATATCCTTAAGCATTAAATGTTTAAAGAATTGTAATTCTTTAAAAGAAATTAAAAAAAAAAATAAAAGGAGGAATGCGTATTTCAAAGTTCCTTTGTTTGCAGTCTTCTTGCAAACCCAGACAAAAGTTTACGGGTAATGCTCCCTTGAGGAATGGAGGATTTCTTCATCTTGGGGGATGCCGTGTTTAGCAGTCTGCCTCTTATCCTTACAGTAGGTTTCAGTTTTAAAGTATCGGCAACAGTGTGAGCGTGCCCAGCCTGCTCAAAGTTGCTTATAACTTCTGGCTCTATTGCAGAATCTTAGTAATCTATGAATAAGCATCAAGTTAAAAATAGTTTTCCTTATGTCTTTTGAGATCCTTCTGTTAGATTGGTACCTATTCTAAAATGTGACTTTAACTCCTTGAGTGATAATTTTGATTTAGATAGCTGGTTTTGGTCTTCAAATTGCAGCATGTTTCAGAATTTGTAAGTACCAAAATCCCATTACTTACCGGAAAGCGATGTCAAAGTGACAAATGCTTGGAATTCCTCCAGCTGTATATTGTCAAAAAGGTTTGTGATTGGAAAATCTCAAGACCATCTGTTTATATCTTTCTGCTTCCTGGCTTTTTATGTGAGCAGCTGAGAGGACTCTCTCCCTCTCTCACTTAAGACATGTTATTCTGCTGAATTTACACCCACATATAAAAAAAGATAGCCTTTTCATGCTCTCTGCAAATACATCCTAATTCTTTTGACCACAAAATCAATTGAAGTATAGCCTTCCATTAATCTGAATTTCCCAGTCTATGCTTCTGGGGGGTGTGTTATACTTGCATACGGGACTGGGCCTTTGCGTGTGGGGATGGGGGAAGAGAACATTTCAGCTACATTCCCAGGCACTTCACATGTAGCTATTCCGTGTGGTCATAAAGTCAATGCAAAGGATATCGCTGTGTAGATCAGAATTATTTTTACAGACTTCAGTTCTATGTAGCAAATTTTGTCCTGAATGTCGTAAGGAAGTGTATTTGCAGAGGGGAAAAAAAAATAAATCATTCCCATGTTACAGTCAATTGTTGTTGGACAGTAGCAAATAAACCAATTCAAAGCTGTTTTAATGAAAATCTGTCCTCACTGGTCAGCAATCAGGTTTTTATTGCTTCCCTTTCTGGACAGATAAACTAACAAATATATAACTAGAGCTCAATGTTATCTAGCTATTCCCTTCCTGTAGGGAAGGGCTGTTACACGTATAATATATCTAAATCAGAAATACAATGCAAAGACCAAGCACTTTTAGTTTTAGTCCTTGATCCTGTATGTGATCCCAGAAAACCACGTTGCCTAAACAGGCAGAAATTGCGTTTGGAAGAGGTGGTGTCTGGCTCTTGTTTGCTGGGCACGGAGAGCAGGGCTTGGGGACAGAGGAGGGGTTGACAGTCATAGCGGATCACTTCCACCTAAACGCAGATGGAAGCAAGGTGTTGATCACATTACCATGGGCAAGTGTTAAAACACCGAAGTCTGTCACAGAAGCAAAGTCTAGTAATGCTTCATCTGTCAGCCCGCGGCCATGCTCGGCAGCGTGCTTTGCCCCACTTCTGTCACTCTGCTGCCTCCTCCCGCCTCCCCTCAAGATGTCCTCTAAAAGACTGGACAAGGGGGTGAACCTGTGCTCCTCTGGCCCCAGCCAGCGTCACGCTGCTTGCTGCTTTCTCTCATCTGCTTGGTCATTTGTGGGTTGGGAGAGCCTCCTTTTACATTTGCCCTATTCTGGCCAGACTGCAGGTGCGTGCTTGGTGTCATTAGGGCTCGTCTTTACCTCTTCCCTTGTGGTGGTAAGGAAACATTGACTTCTTCAGCTAAGCAAGAACTTCACTGAAAATAACTCCAAACTACACTTTACTGAAAAGAAATGAAAAGTTTAAAAACAAACAAATGAAAAAACAAACAACAAAAAGCCCAAACAAACAAAAAAGCCCCGCTCCAGCCCCCCACCTCCATAAAACTGGAGAATAGGCTCCCGTGTATACAGTTCCCCTAAACATCTTTTTGACCAACACTGCTAGAACACAGAAAGACATTAACTGCAGAGTATGCAGACCTAAACTTAAGCAAAAGATGATAACTATTATATCCAAATATTTCTAGAAATAAAAGAAGCATTATTTTTCTGTGGAGAAAAGAGCAATTCATCCTAGCTAACAGCAATTAAAACCAAACCAAAACAAAACAAAACCCCTACCCACTTCTGTCCTCTTTCCCATCAGGGAGCAATGTCCCACTTGAGGGACTCCCTCTGCACTCATCGCCTTTGATACATCCCCCACATCATGGGAAAACCTTCTGCATCTACAGACAGCAGCTGCAGCTTCCTCTGGGTACAAGAGTGGCCCATCCACGCTGCTCTAACCTTGTAAAGCAGTGGCTTCTGCAGAAGTCCTCCTAGAAAGCGTCCCAGGAGAAAACAGGCTGCAGGTCCCTTAGGCAGTTTGTCTATTTATCTGGAAATGAGGAGCGGTTTCCGGAGTCTTCCTTTCCTTTTTCAAACCCCAGCACCACATTGTGGTTTCTACATGTTCCCCTCGTCCTTCCCCGCGTGCGTTTCCTGCCAGGCTTTTAAAATTGTAGCTGGGACTCCGCTGGCTGATTCATTCGCAGTGATCCAGGAAAGGAATTTGAATGACAAAAAGCCAAGCTACATAAACACTTCATGGTTTTTGATTAGCTAATTGTTAAATTAGGGTGAATATGCTTACAGTGCAAAATTAAAACAATGAAACAAGCTGTGTTTTCAATCTAATTGGTTACCTTGTAACTTAATTTGTACTAAGAAGCTTGATAAATGAGATTAAATATTGCAGAGGAAAACACTGATTGCACACCAAGCATGGGAATATATTTGCATTCTGGCAATTTGTAGTGAATGCCTGCAAAGAACAACGGAACTGACCTTTTTTTTTTTTCTTTATTTCTTTTGGTTTTCAAAGGAAGGTTGTGCTTTGTTACACATTTACAAAATGGCTTAAATTATCTTTTTTTGCCTTTTTCTTTGTTTAGCCCTGTTTTTCCCCACCTTCTTTATCTGCACCCCGCTTTCCTCCTTGCTTCCTCCCCTGACCAGCCTGTTTCCTCTTTCCTGCCCTGGCCAATTCTTCCTCCTGAGCCCTCTCGCTTGTATCCCAGCTTCCTATGAGCTTTGTGCTTTTGTCTGTCCTCTGTGTCCTGCCTGACCTGCAGCAATCCTCAAAGGAGGGTGCAGTCCAAGTCTTCAAGCAGAGATCCTGCTATACTTGGCCTCCTAACCTCAGGCTTTAGCTAAGTGATATGTTGTTCTTACCCATAAAGCAGATTTCAAAAGTATTTGTTTGCTTTCTCCAGGCATTTGTTCCTTTGCTGTGTTTTGCTGACCTCACCATTGTGTCAGTATTTATTTGTAAAAATCATGCATTAGGAGTCTATGAAATTGGTTCATTTTTGTGCTCCAGTTTATGACACAACTTGTGTGGGCACTGTCCTGTGGCCTCCATCGCTGACCCCCCCCTTCAAGTTGTGACCTGCCCAGGGTTTATCCGCCTGGTGCTCTGGTTCTCCTCATTTTTAAATAGGACTACTGTTTGCTTATTCACTAACATTGACATCGTTTAATGTTTTTAAAGAAAATATGATATATATATAATGCAAAGCAGTTGCTGAATCTCTGTATGATGGTAAGATTCACTCTGGTTGTAATGAAATTCTTTTTTTAAATGGGAAACGGTCTGTCTCTTGTACTGAGTGCTTCATATTATGTGTGCTTTTTCTACCTCCCTACATGTTGGGTACTGTTTTAAGGCTGGCTGTCTTTAATGAAGCTTTTTTTTTCCTTAAAAAAATCAAGCCAAGCAATTGCATTTTCAAGTAGCATCTCTGCAGTGCATCTAAATCAGC